AGGGGTTCAGGGACAGAGGCACAGGGTAGGCAGGAGATGGAGAGCGATGGGGATGAATCCCAGGACAGCGAGGAAGAGGATGACAATGACTCAAGAGATTCCATGAGTCTTTCCAGCGAATCAGAGGATTCCCAGAAGGGGGCGCCGGTGGTCAAGGCCAGGGGAGCCCCAGGGGGGACGTGTCAGGAGCAGGGGGCCAGCGGGGGATCCCAAAGTGGCAGCTGGGTGTCAGGACCAGCCTCCCCGCCAGAGTGCAGCGAAGGGGGTGGAGGTTTCAGTGTATCAGGGGAAGCGGCTCCGGCAGCAGAGAAGGGAGGGAGGTCGGAGCAAGCCACCCGCCCGGAAGGGGAGGGGAGTAGTGAAGGAGTAGTGTAGCTGTTAAAAGGAAGGTTAGAGGTTGGGCACGCGCGCCAAGTTCAAATGTAGAGGCGCGCGGAAGTACAGGGAGCCCGGAGGAGGGGCCAGGTCCCAAAGCCCGCAGGAGGGGGCAAGAGCAGTCTGGGGATTCCGCGTCAGAGGAATCGAGGAGGGGCGAAACCCCAGCGGGCAGAAAGACCCTGCGGAAAAGGAAAGAGAGAAAGAGGTGGAGCAGCGCAAGCCTCTTAAACTGGTGCAGGGGAGGGACTGATTCAGAGGGGACTTCAGCGGTCTAAGCGTAGCAGACGTAGGGCTGCGCGCCTCGGATGTGAAGCAAACAATGAACTGCAATAAACACTTTTGTATATAAGAAGAGACAGGCGTTGGTCTTTTGTGAGCTGAGACTTGAGGCAGCCCTGACACTAACAGACGCAAAGGAAAGAGGGGGATTTGCCCTGCCAGATCTTAAACTTTACTATGAATCAGCCGCTTTTTGTTGGCTGAAAGATTGGCTACTTCTTGAAAATGTGGACATTTTAGATCTAGAAGGTTTTGATAATGTGTTTGGATGGCATGCATATTTATGGTATGACAAAGTCAAAGCGCATAAAGCCTTCAAGAATCATATTGTCAGGAAAGCATTGTTTAATGTTTGGGTGAGATATAAGGATTTGTTGGAAAGTAAAACACCAAGGTGGCTGTCACCAATGGAGGCAAAGGCATTGAAAAAAACAAATATGGAGACAAACTGGCCAAAATATTGTGAAATTTTAGAACAAGTTGGAGATAAATTAAAATTGCAGAGCTTTGATAAATTAAAAACTAAAGTTCGAGATTGGCTTCACTACTATCAAATAAGGGAGGTTTTTAACCTAGATAAAAGATTGGTTTCCAGGAGGAAAAATCTAAACTGGAAACGGAATTGTTAGAACCTAAAACTAAAAATCTGTCAAGAATGTATAATCTGCTGTTGAAATGGAATACACAGGATGAAATGGTTAAATCTGCTATGATTAAATGGGCGCAAGATGTTGGGCATAATATCATGTTTGCTGACTGGGAACGGTTATGGACCACAGGTATGAAATTTACGGCTTGTAACGCCTTAAGAGAAAACATAATGAAAATGATTTATAGGTGGTACTTAACCCCAGTCAAGTTAGCAAAAATCTATCATCTGCCTGATAATAAATGTTGGAAATGTAAAGAAAATGAAGGTACTTTTTTTCACCTTTGGTGGACGTGCCCAAAGATCAAGGCCTTCTGGGAAATGATATATAATGAATTAAAAAAGGTATTGAAATATACTTTCTTGAAGAAACCAGAGGCCTTCCTCTTGGGCATGGTCGGCCAATTGGTGCGAAGGGAAGACAGGGATTTTTTTATGTATGCGACAGCAGCGGCAAGAATACTTATTGGGAAATATTGGAAGACACAAGAATTGCCTACCCGAGAAGAATGGCAGAGGAAAGTGATAGACTATATGGAACTGGCTGAGATGACCGGCAGAATTCGAGATCAGGAAGAAGGGTCGATGGAAGAAGACTGGAAAAAATTTAAAATATATCTTCAGAAACACTGTAATATAAAAGAATGTTAGAAAAGGTTGGAGAAGAATATTAGACCGTATTGGCAGACAGGGTATAATGGAATAAGTAAATATGAAGTGTAAAATAAAGACAGAGATGAATTAAATACTTTCGAATGTTAAAATAAGTAAATGAAAAGAAGGTTAGAAGGATTTGCTGGAGATACGATCTAAATTAGAATACAAAGCAGGGAGGTGAGAGGAAGTCATGGAAACAAGTAAATGGGAAGACGGTTGTAATGGTATAATTTGATTTTTGTTATTTTTTTATTGTGATTTTTTGTCTTTTGTATTTCTCTTTTTACTGTCTGTTTTTTGTAAGATGTATGGGATTTGTTTTTCTTTCTTTTTTTACTTTTTTTTTCTTTTTCTGTAATTTTAAAATTGGAATAAATATTTATAAAAAATAAAAAAAAAGAAATTGAGTCCTAGTATGCTTGGCTGCTCCTTTCCGCTGTATAGTAAACTTCAGAAGAGCATGATCACTCGCGCCTAATGATCCTTCCACTTCTACCCCACTTGCATGCTTGGCCATCTGTTCCAGGAAGGCATCATCTATGTCCTCCGTTTGGCTTGGGGATCTATAGTAAACTCCCACAATGAGGTCACTGTTATTCTTCTCTCCCTTAATTTTGACCCAAATGCTCTCACTTTGGCTTTGAGGTTCTAAATCTTGGATCTCTTCAGAGGTATACACATCCCTGACATATAACGCCACTCCTCCTCCTTTCTTGTCTGGTCTGTTTCTCTGAAATAGATTGTATCCCCCCATTTTTACATTCCAATCGTGGGACTTATCCCACCAGGTTTCAGTGATGCCTATTATGTCATATTTAGTTTGCTGTACCAAGAACTCAAGCTCCTCTTGTTTATTTCCCATGCTTTGCGCATTAGTGTACAGACATTGAAGTCCATTAATCATTTCCCCGTGTCTCTTATTTAAGGATTTTTTCCTCCCACCACTAGGTCTGCGTGCTGTTTGCTCCATTTGGTCTATGACATTTGGATGATCATCTTCATCAATTGATAGACTCCTACCTTCAGGAGCACTGTCTCCCTCCCCACATTAGTCAGTTTAAAGCCCTCCTGATGAGGTTTCTGAGATTTTGGCAAAAACATTTCTCCCAACCGTTGTGAGGTGCAGCCCATCGCTTGCCAGAAGTCCATCTTCAAGAAACTGCAGTCCGTGATCTAAGAATCCAAACCGTTCCTGTTTACACCATTTGCGAAGCCAGCTGTTCACTTCCACTATGTTTCCCTCTCTCCCTGGGCCACGTCGTTCAACTGGGAGGACAGATGAGATGACAATTTGTGCATTTAATTGCTTCAATTTCCTGCCCAGAGCCTCGTAGTCTCTTTTGATCTTCTGGAGGCTATTGCTTGCAGTGTCATTGGTTCCCACATGAACCAAGAGGAAGGGGTATTTGTCAGTGGGTTTTATGATTCCTTGCAGTCGTTCAGTTACATCTTGGATCTTAGCCCCGGGGAGACAGCACACTTCCCAAGACATCTTGTCAGGCCCACAGATCACTGCTTCTGTTCCCCTCAGTAGGGAATCCCCTATCACCACTACACACCTCCTCTTAGGTTTGGTCGGGGTTCTTCCGTGAGCTGTCCATTCCAAGGTCGCCTGCACATTCCCTGAGGACTGACTTTGCTGCTCGTCTTCATATACCTGATCGACTGTAATGAGGGAGAAATCCTCAAATGGAGTCTGCTCTTCGTCTTCCATGCTAGGGGAGAGGACCTCAAAGCGATTGTGTATTTCTAAACAATCAGAGCGAACCCTGGGCCTCCTACTCCTTTGAGTCACGTTTCTCCATATATCTGGCTCCTGTGTTGGTGAACTAGCCTCCTTCTCAGGGGAGTCCCCTGTCTCCTCCTTGGTGGAGACGGTGTGCTCTGTTGCTTCCAAGAAGAGCTCCAGCTCTCTAATTCTTTGGAGCATAGCTACACGTTCTTCCAGTTGCTGGACTTTGTCTTTTAAGAGGGCAATCAACATGCAATTGCTGCAGGTAAAGCTGCCTGCAACCTTTGGCAAGATGGCAAACATTGCGCAGGAACCACAGGCGACTGCAGCTGTTCCCTCCCCCTCCATCTTGAGAACGTGTCATTGGGGGTGGCTACAGCGGTCCTCCATCATAAAAAGCGTGAAGACAGGACAAATAACTCCCCCCACAAAAAAGCCTAGGTCTCCCCCAACAAACGTTTGAGACTAGCTCCCCTAAATCGAAAAGATGGATCAAACTGATAAGCTCCTCCCACAGCTAATCACCTGCCTCAACAGAAACCCTGCCCCCTCTGACCTTTGCACAGGGAGAGCAGCTAATCAGCCACAAAGAAACACACACACACATACACACAAGAAAACCTCTTGAGAGTCCCATGGACTGCAAGAAGATCAAACCTATCCATTCTGAAGGAAATCAGCCCTGAGTGCTCACTGGAAGGACAGATCCTGAAGCTGAGGCTCCAATACTTTGGCCACCTCATGAGAAGAGAAGATTCCCTTGAAAAGACCCTGATGTTGGGAAAGATGGAGGGCACAAGGAGAAGGGGACAACAGAGGATGAGATGGTTGGACAGTGTTCTCGAAGCTACGAACTGCGGGAGGCAGTGGAAGACAGGAGTGCCTGGCGTGCTCTGGTCCATGGGGTCATGAAGAGTCGGACACAACTAAACGACTAAACAACAACAACAACATAAGATGCTGCATCAAGAAACTGTTTCCAAAGCATTTCCCCATTGCTTTCCTTTATCACAAGTCCATCTTGTGGCGGAGGGCTGTTGCATAAGAGCACCAACCAGATTCAAGCTGAATTTGCTGGTATGTGATTGAATCCCCGCCCCAAAATAGGGCCTATCTGAAAGTCCCCAGAGGCAGAGCTAACCCATTACGGAAAAACCCTGCAGCAACAACTCAGATTGATTTCAGCTGACAACATAGGCACTTAGGACACGACCTTATACAAAACCAGACCCTTGGTCCATGTAGCTCAATATTGTCTTCAAAAGCTCTCCAGGGTTTCAGGCAAAAGTCTCTCCTTGCCGTAGCTGGAGATGCCAGGGATTGAACCTGAGACCTTCTGCATGCAAGGCAGATGTCCTACAAGTGAAGCATCTCTGATCTTTAAAATGAATAAAACCTAACTTTGGATTCACTCCCTTTATTTCACATGTGATTTTTACTATATTCATCTACCTAGACTGGTTATCCCCCTTGACACTTGTTTTCTGGTAGTACATACAGACCATCATTATTGCTTTTGAATCCCTTGCCCCATGTAACCACAAAAGCAGTGGCGGAAGGGGCAGACTCAAGCTTGAACATGAATATGCTCTCTTTGAAAGCATCATCATTACTATTTTTAGCACAAGGCTTTTTTTCCAAAAAGCTGGTCAAACCAGCCCCAAACGATTCCACGCTAATTATACCTGGAGGATCGATTCTTTGGCCTTTTAGTCTCATTTGTGTGCTTTAAAAGTCCTTCCGCTGCCACCTTAAAGCCCTTAAGCTTTGATGCTGGGGAGGCCAGGCTGGGTGGGTGCGGGAAGGCAAGGGAGTCAATGAGTAGAATGCACTCTTTGTTCAAGAGGAATGCAGGTGAACCCCAGACATCCTGCTGCACGGTATATATCAGGTTCATCCAGCTGAAACTATACGGGAAATATAAGCCTCGAGTGAGACATTTCATTTCTTCCTTTCCCCTGCCACCCCTCCTTTTGCCTAGAGATAGGGTGGAGAGGAGCACATATGCACAAGTAATGTACAGCCAGAAGTAAGGTTAAGAACGAGCCACGTCGCCTTCTGTGCCAAGCTGAGCCAAATCCATGGTGTGTGCACCTTTCCATGTTGACAAGACTGCAGGGGAAGGGGAAGGATGTGGCTGGAGAGCCCACGAAGGCAGACGGGCTCCGATTCACTCTTCAGCATTCAAATGAGCCACTTAGCTCCATGTGCCCTGTCTCAGCCTCCTTCCTGCTCCCAGGAAGGTGCAGCTTGTCAGGCATACATCAATGATCTGATTAATGCAGGATCATGTTCCCCTGTGCTATCTATCCTGCTCATCACGTTTCATGCCTCACACCTACATGGTGCAGGTACAGCTCAGAATGTAATGACCTCGGTTGGAATTTACAAGGAACTCAAGTTTGCATTTGCGATAGTCAGAAAACCATCACGGAGTCAAGTATAGCCACCTGAAATCTCTAAGATTCATGGGAAATCTTGATGGGCTCCCAGAGGAAGCCCTTTCATTTCTATAGGCAACCTGAACATGCTTCCTAAAACAGTAAGTCCTAATGGGACTTGTCTATGAGTGGAAATGCACCATAAACGTTCTAACAATGCCATTTAGCAAAAAGTTGCATTTAATAGAGTTGTGCATCTGATCTAGACAAATTCTGGACAGAGAACTGAATCGGACTTATTTGGGTTGAGCTGAGGTTTTTTCATGGGCTGAGGTGGCCCCAGAACATCCTGGCTCAGGCTGGGTCCACCTAGAGCAGGGTTTCCCAAACTCCAGCTGTTTTCCCCAGACTCCAGTGATTTTGGACTACAATTCCCAACATCCCTGACTACTGGTCCTGCTCACTAGGGATGATGGGAGTTGTAGTCCAAATACAGCTGGAGAGCCAAGTTTGAGAAACCCTGACCTAGAGTGATGCAGTGCTCTCCAAAGTGAGGGGTGGGGGTATGATATTCAAGCAACTGCATGTTTAGGTAAAGGTAAAGGGACCCCTGACCATTAGGTCCAGTCGTGACTGACTCTGGGGTTGCGGCGCTCATCTCTCTTTATGGGCCGAGGGAGCGGGTGTACAGCTTCCGGGTCATGTGACCAGCATGACTAAGCCGCTTCTGGTGAACCAGAGCAGTGCATGGAAACGCCATTTACCTTCCTGCCAGAACGGTACCTATTTATCTACTTGCACTTGACGTGCTTTCGAACTGCTAGGTTGGCAGAAGCAGGGACCAAGCAACAGGGGCTCACCCCATCGTGGGGATTCGAACCGCCGACCTTCTGATTGGCAAGTCCTAGGCTCTGTGGTTTAACCCACAGCGCCACCCGTGTCCCAACCGCATGTTTAAAACCCTATTAAACATGCAGTTCAGGGTGTGTGGAGGAGAGGAGACAAGCAAGAGTGGATGGCTTTAAGAAAGGATTGGACAAATTAATGGAGGACAAGTCTATTAATGGCTACTAGACCTGATGGCTGTGCTCTGCTTCCATGGCCTGTGGTAGTAATGTTTCTGAACACCAGTTGCTGGAAACCAAGGGAGGGGAAAGGGTTCTTGTGCTCAGGTCCTGATCCAGTCATTGGCCTGATCCAGCAGGCTATTCCTATGTTCTTATGAGTGGTCTGGAGTTAATCACAGTTTATCAACTGTGGTCACTCAGCTCACATAGTAGAGCAAAACATTACAGGAATTCCAAATACCACGTAATCCACTTTCATCACTGTTGGGGTACCATAATATGATTCAGTATAGTTCTCTTCCCGCCTCACTTCCTGCCCTGGTCCTTTAATCTCACCGTGATTTGTAAGCCTCACTTCACAGCAGCCCTGTGGGGGCAAATAGTCTTATTCTACATTGTTATAATTCTGTGTTAAATCTGTTCGGCTGAGGTTGGCATATTACTACTTCAAAGACCCCACAAATATGGTTGTAATTCCTGTTCTGCCCAACATGATGACAAGGCATATCTTCTCTACAAAGGCTGGGCTTTCTTCCCTAGGAAGTAATTTGGGCTGATCTTTATCCTTGGATTACTTCCCCTGCTCTGACTAAACAGTTTCAGTGCTTGGTAAAACAGTCTGCTTAAAGAGAAGCAAGAGGTCGCCTCTCCAAGTGATTTCTTCTGAGAAAGAGAGAGAAAGCAGAAGCTGAAGAGATACGTAAGATCCTGCAAAAGGCGGGGAAGCTTTTTGAATATGTAATCAGAAGTTCTGAATATCTAATTCTTTCTGAGGAGGAATAGGAGCAACATTCCTCTCTTTCCAGCACCAGGAAATACAGGTTAGCAGTTAAAAAACAATGAGGACACAGCTTTAGTGTCATGCAAAAGGCCCACTTGATCTTTTATCCTTGTTTGTGCTTGTAAATATATTTCCCCCCAGTTCAGTGGCTCTTAACATTTTTGAGATCATGGACTCATCTGAGAATCTGATGAAAGCTACGGACCTCCTCCCCAGTAAAAATGCACATAAACATGCCCACACAAAGATTTGCATACAATCAATATTCTTGCATTGGAAATATCCCCCTTTGTTGCAGCTGGGACACAGACCCATTGAAGCACATCACAGGCCCAGGAAGTTCAGGTTAAGAAGCCCAGCCCTAGTTCCATACAAGTCAATAGTATAGTGAAACTGACCACACCAGCTGATGTAGTCAGTTTCACGTGAAGGCAATCTTAAAGAGAACACATAGCTTTGAGGTGCTACAGCTTTGTCCTACATTACCCAATAGGTGCCTGCGGCAATAGTGCTGAAAGACAGCCTCTCTCCATACGAACCTACCCAGACCCTGAGATCATCCTCTGAGGCCTTCTTTGTGTGCCTCTGCCACAATAAGTACAGAGGGTGGCAACATGAGAACGGGCCTTTTCCGCTTTGTGGCTTCCTCTTTGTGGAATGCTCTCCCCAGGGAGGTTCAGCTGGTGCTTTCATTAGGTGCCATGCGAAAACATCCCTCTTTAACCAGGCCTTTGGCTGGGGCGGGTGGGGATTTTTGGCTTGTCCTTGTTCTTATTTTTATTATCTACTTTGTGTTTTTATATGGTGATTTTATGTTGTGAACCGCCCTGAGACCTATACCTATAGGGTGGTATACAAATCAAATGGGACGCGGGTGGCGCTGTGGGTAAAACCTCAGTGCCTAGGACTTGCCGATCGTATGGTCGGTGGTTCGAATCCCCGCGGCAGGGTGAGCTCCCGTCGTTCGGTCCCAGCTCCTGCCCACCTATCAGTTCGAAAGCACTCTTAAGTGCAAGTAGATAAATAGGGACCGCTTTATAGTGGGAAGGTAAACGGCGTTTCTGTGTGCTGCGCTGGTGCTGGCTCGCCAGCTGCAGCTTCGTCACGCTGGCCACGTGACCCGGAAGTGTCTTCGGATGGCGCCGGCTCACAGCCTCTAGAGCGAGATGAGCACGCAACCCTAGAGTCAGACACGACTGGCCCGTACGGGCAGGGGTACCTTTACCTTTTTTATACAAATCTTAACAACAACAACAACAACAACAAACAAACAACACAACACAACACAACACATCTATTTTATCAGTGTTGGTCGCATACAAAGGTTATATGTGTTGGTCACATACAAAGAGAGCCAGTGTGGTGTAGTGGTTAAGAGCGGTAGACTCGTAATCTGGTGAACTGGGTTTGATTCCCCGCTCCTCCACATGCAACTGCTGGGTGACCTTAGGCTAGTCACGCTTCTCTGAAGTCTCTCAGCTCCACTCACCTCACAGAGTGTTTGTTGTGGGGGAGGAAGGGAAAGGAGATTGTTAGCCGCTTTGAGACTCCTTAGGATAGTGATAAAGCGGGATGTCAAATCCAAACTCTTCTTGTTCAAGTTTGAAGTGCCACAAACAACAACAAAATCAGTTCAAAGAGAGATTATGGCAAGGCAGAGAATAAATAATCCATTACAGAGCTAGGGTGGCTTTGCCTGGGTCAAAATGTGCATTTTCAAGCACTGCATATGGTTTTGTATATAAGAAACGTGAATTCTGCAAAGCAGCGGTGGGCTGCCTAACCCCCTCCACTCATTCAGGTGAGCTTCCCAGATTTATTGTTGAAATCTATGCCATTCTTTTTGTGCAGATATGTTGCAACTCACAACATGTGTCCACTCCCTGCTCCAAACCCATTATCTTCAGCACACATCACAAAGTACATGGCTTTTCATATCAAATAGGATCAATAACAGCCAGTCTGACAGAGCTAGACTTCAAGTGACAATCGTCCTTGGAAAGAAGAATACATTGTATTATAGGGGGGAAATGGGGAGAAATGATATAAAAGAGAGATTTTGACCTACATATGCTCAACATTTGCCAGTACTTGAAGCATATGGAAACTCTGTTGGAAAAAGGACATAAAAATCATATCTCATTA